CACGAATGTATCAACGCCACAAAAAAGTAACGTATGGTTTGTGACGTATATATTATCACAGGTTAATTTCTAAAAAAAGAAGAGATTTGTTTTATTATAGACAGGTAGAAGAATATAAAAGTTGGATTGAGTTTGTAATGGTGTTATTTTATGTATTTTCTAACCATGTCAAGAATATTAAAATTGAATTATGGTCAAAAGGGTGTTATTATTTGTATTTTCTAACCATGTGGGGTTTTCTTCTATACACCAAAACTGTGTATAAACTAAAACAATCATGTGATTATAGTTGCTTTAAACTTATATTTATTATCTTAACTTTTACATACATATAGAAAATAAAAATTGAATAACTGTTATATAAGGCAAGATAATGTAAGACCGAACAGTAAACACACTTAAAAAACAAACAACATAAAACAAAAGCACTGTAGACGAACCACAAGTAACTTGACTGTACTGACAAATAAGACTTATGTGAAATGTACCGAAATACATAATTTAAACCACAAACGATATCGATAAGAAATAACACAATATCTAACAGGATTTACACAAGAAACATCATACCTAAATACATGAATGTTGGATGTATAAATACCGAGACACGTCGTATAGCAATGCAAATTCATACTCGGCAAAACAGTCATCTTTTTGATGAAAAACCACAATCTAAGACGTGGTAAAAATTTCGTTATTTAGTTTAGACACAGACACATCGTATAGATCAACCCATTCGTGATGGTGTCCATAAAAATTTATGGAGTGTCACTTTTTATCTTTCCTCCTCATAACTTTGTTGGATCAATTTCTGCGTAAGATAAAGATACAAAAGTCTCGAAGATAGTTAACTGACAACATCATGACAAAAAAGATAAAGACAAAAAGACCAACAAAAGTATACAAAACACATCATAGAAAAAAAGTAAAATAACAAAAATACCGAAATCCGAGGAGAATTCTAAACGGAAAGTCTCTAATCAAATGGCAAAATCGAAAGCTCAAACACATCAAACGAATGAATAACAACTGTCATATTCCAGACTTGGTAAGGCATTTTCTTATGTAGAAAATGGTGGATTAAACCTTGTTTTATAGCTAGCTAAACCTCTCACTTGTATGACAGTCACATACAATTCCATTATATTGACAACGATGTGTGAACAAAACAAACAGACATAATAGGTAAAAATGTCAAAAATAGGGGTACAGCAGTCAACATTGTGTTATATTCTTTATCACTATAAAAACAAACAAATATGTCAACAAAGAAAAACAAAAGGGCATATAGACAAAGCACATTAGCAAAAACGAAAGACAAGAGTACAAAAATTTACCATAGTACAATAACACAATGACGGGATGTATAAGTACCGAGCCACGTCAAATGGATATAGTTTAGTGTAACGTCCATTTTCACTGAACCAGTATACATTTTTTTTAGGGGCCAGCTGAGGACCACCTCCGGGTGCGGGATTTTCTGGCTGCGTTGAAGACCCATTGGTGGCCTTCGGTTGTTATCTGCTCTTTTGTCGGGTTGTTGTCTCTTTGACATATTCCTCATTTCCATTCTCAATTGTATAACCAAAAATAGACTACACAGTAGAAGTAATAATTTACAAAGACAAATAAAAGAATACTATAACACGTTATTAAGATGATAAACAACGTCAGTACCTAGAATCTATACTTCAATTAGATATAAAAAGATGTGGTATGAGTGCCAATGAGACAACTCTCCATCCAACTCACAATTTGTAAAGTAAACCATTATAGGTCAAAGTACAGCATTCAACACGGAGCATTGGCTCACACCGAACAACAAGCTATATAGGGCCCCAAAGTGACTAGTGTAAAACCATTCAAACAGGAAAACCAACGGTCTGATCTATATAAAAAACGAGAAACGAGAAACACTTATGAAGCACATCAACAAACGACAACCACTAAACATCAGGTTCCTGACTTAGGACAGGTGCAAACAAATGCAGCGGTTTTAAACGTTTTAATAGCGGCCAATCTTCACCTTACCCTGAAACAATAGTGTAACATCACAACATAGAAAGACACACTATAAAATATCAATTGAAATGGCTTAACTCAATCCAAAGACATATTAACAAAAACAAGTGAACATAAACTGAACGAATAAATTTGATCTTTGACACAATGTAAATACAAAATTAATAAAACAAGGCGGTTAGATGTAAAACAATATCAGAAAGACAACCATCACCTTGGACAAAAGGCCGCCAACTAAAATAACCATCGTTCAAGACCATCGTGTATTGTTTGTGAAGTTGATACGGAATATTTATCAACAAGGTCTTGGTATCTTCCAATGAACTTTTTTGGAAAAAGGACAAGACGTTCTTTGACATACCCCTGGTTCGTCAACTTTCTGCTCAGACACTGGTGACGTTTTACAAAGTCTGAGTAGCAGCTGCAAGCTCTTGAATACCGAATGAGTTGGGAAATGTATATCCCATATGCAGGTGAAGTTGGTATATTGCTACTAAGGTGGGGAAAATTGATAATTTCAAAATAAAAATCGTCTCGTTTGTCATAGATTCTGGTACTGAGATGACCGCTTATGTCAAATTCGAGGTATAAGTCTAAAAATGAGGCAGAGGAAGCCGTGTCTGATGTTTCTTTAATTTTTATTTCTGGACGATATAATAATGGAACCCAATCAGAAAAGTTTGGATTGTTAATTGAAAGAACATCATCAATATATCTGAATGTGAAATTAAATGATCTGGCTTCTTTGATCTTCTTGTTTTTCACAAGTGTCTGGAGAAACTCCGACTCATCTGAAAATAAGAAGAGGTCGGCAAGGAGAGGCGCACAGTTTGTTCCCATAGGAATGCCGACAATTTGTTGAAAAATTTACCTCCAAATTCAACAATAAGAAACTCCAGCATACTGATCACATGTTCCTCTGTGTAGCATGTTTTACTTTTTTGTTCACTATTTACAAAATATGCCGTATGGTATCTCAAAGTAATAAATTTATAGCGTATGCTACCATTTTTATGTTGTAAAGCATTGTGGATTATTTCTTTTACACGATTTTTCAATTTTAAATGGGGAAAGATCGAGATTAAAACTTATTCAGAAGTTCTTAAGAGTTTTTTTTTAAAATGAGGCAGAGGTATACCACTACGCGAGTAAACAGTTTCACAGTATTTTTGAAGACCCTCTATACTGCAGGCAGAATTTTAGTCAATCTAAGGGACAACTCTTTCGTCGAACATGCAGATGAGCCGGAAATGTACCGTTGTTTGTACGGAATTTTTTGAAGCTTAGGTATCCAATACAAACAAGGTAGGTACTCTGATTTGCTGTTCACTATTATGGGCATTAATTAAAGCCATAAAGGACTTATGATTCGCCAAAATCTCATTCTTATCAAATGATATGATTTTCTAAGTAGGATTACCTGAATGCTCATTTATTCCTAATTCTTTTACAAGACACTCAAAGTAATACGATTTACATACAAAGACAATATTATTTGAAGCTTTGTCCACAGAAAACAATATACTTATCGTGAAGAGATGATCGACATTTCACAGCCTCTTTGTCTCTGAAAACGTACTTTGGTCGATCATTCACACAATAACTTATGAATGCGAAAGACTGAGCAACACGAACCCCACCCAAAATCGGTGGTGATCTAAGGTACTCCGAAAGGGTAAACAGATCATGTTCTACATGTGACACCGTCGTATTGCTAATGTAAGTGCAAACCCCGAGATAAGTCTAATTGGTAGGTCACATTAGATGGCTTCGCTGTAGATTGATTTCCATGTTTGTTTGAATTTTTGAAAGTCAGTTGTGTTGTTTTTTTCTGATAGACATTTACACAGTTTTGGCCGCTGTGTCCAAAATATTGTCAAACTAACCAATTATATATGTTTGGGTTGCTTACCAAATTTTGTCAAAATGACGGTACTATAAGCAACTGACGTATAAGTGGTAGGTTTATCTACCTTCAAAACTAGGTTAAACCCGCAATTTGCATACGGAAATGCTTGTACCAAGTCAGGAACATAACTGTCAAAGTTTATTCGTTCTATTGTTTGATATAAGATAACGTATGATTTTGTGTTGTTGTGTGGACGTCTTCTTTTTGAATTTACCTACGGTATTGTCATTAAAAACACAAATATATGGCCCTTTGGTTATTCAACTGTATTTTTATAAGAAAGGATTTCAATGTGATGTCACGGATCTCAAATGTGTGTCATTTGGATTCACTTCAAAATTATTAAGCAATTTTGCCAAACGCTTTGTAACTTTCTCTTCGAATTTGAAAAACGAAGGGAGAGTGTTGAAAACTTACAAAACAACTTTGTTCGCCTCCTTTCTTGTAGGCCATTGACGTCTAAATTAATGGTTTCAGTTACTATATTTATCATTTTAAGCCTGCAATGACCTACATACCTTACTTTAGCAAGTTTTTACTGGTAAACTTCTGTCATGTAGTAGAAAACCCAATTCGAAATGTTTCTATAAGGAAGAAACTTTTAAACTATTACTGACTTCGCAAATGATATAGTCCTACCACAACTCGGCTAGTCATGAGTACAAATAATGAAGCGAAACATTTTCAAGGACACATATTTTTGATGGTGTCCTCTGTGGGGCAGGAACTAAAAGAATAAGTACCCTTCCGGAATATTATTTGTTGTTCTATGTAATAATTTGTTGCTTGTCCTTTCGTCTTTTTTATTTTTTGCTATAATGTTTTCTGTTTTTATTGGTTATATTATTTCAAGATGCCCCCATGGTATCATTTCCCTCTTTATTCAATTTATATACTAGGTGAAAAGCACAGAAATTTGAGAAAAACAAATGAAATAATTTCAAAACTTCTATGAAACAGTACATGGATTTATAAAAAAAAAGGCACAGGTTCGGGTTTGGACAGAGATTTGTGTCGTACATATAATACGACAAATTCAAAAGAGAGGCATAAATAAATCTAACCAATATTAGGAGCATATAGATTTATTAAAAGTATACATTAATTTTGATACACACTGTGGACATGTTTGCCAACTGTCTATTGCAAATTGCAAAAGATAGAAAAAGATTCTTTTCATTTGTCAGAAATAGTTATTCTTACATGTTCCGGTTGATGAAAAGCTTCTTAACTAAAAGTGGTATTAAATTAATCAAAATAGAACTAAGCAGAGTCAAGAGATGTTGTCTTCATCACTTTCTGAATCTGTATCTGGCAAAGGATCAGCTTTGATTGTCAGGTCTACATCAGCATATGGGGTACGATCATCCATGTACATTACCTGTCTTCGTTGATTTGACGTTTGAATAAATTCAACTTCAATGTACTTTAACTCCTGTAAACAAACCAACGAGTTATATCTGTAACCACATTAGCATGTAGCTGAAACAAATGCATTATCGACTGTGTAATTTGCGACAGTAATTATGATAAGAAGAATGTATAAACATATAATTTAACTTATACAAAATACCAGGATTTAAATTTTGTATGCCAGACTCGCGTTTCGTTATAAGAAGACTCATCAGGGACGCTCGAATAAAAAAAAAGTTGAAGTTTGAATGTCCCTTAGGTGTCCCTCGCCTCTCTTTTTGAAAAGGCCAAATAAAGCAAGAAGCTGAAAAGCATTACGGGCCCAAGATTCCAAAAGGTTTTGCCAAATACAGCTGCAGTTATTTATTCCTGGGCTAGAAAATCCTTCGTATTTCGAAAAAAAAATCAACGTCTTGTGAGAGTCATTTATAATGTCGTCTTTAAAGGCGAGGGTTTAATAATTGGCTTTTTCGAGTGCTATGTATTTTCTCGTTTTGCACTGTGTTGCTTTGTATTTCACAATATATATTTTACACACATGGACCACTTTAACTTTCGACTGAAGACACTCAAATATTCAAGATGAAGATGTATCTCGAAATATGCATGGACAAATACAATGTACGGTTGCATTTTGAACCAGATCATGATATGTTGTCCTTTATTAAAGTTGACGTAATGAGTCTTTAATCTATTAGTCTCTAATCGTCTAATATCGTCCACCAGAGTGTTTTTTTTTCTTCTCTGAAATGTTATCTATAATTACTTAACAAATTATATACATGAAAAATGTAATAATCATTTACCATAAATACTATTTTTTTTTTTTTTTTATTTATTATTTTTTTTTTTTTTTTGTATATTCAAATATATAACTCATCTGTGTCGCGTCGCTGAATAATACGTCGTTAGATGGATAACTAAATTAAAGCTTACTCTATTCTCCTCCATTCTGGACACACCGTCTGTAGTAGAGGATTGGTTTTGGAAAACCGTTCTTTGAGTCGGAATCAACTGACTAATATGTGTTGTGACTGAAAGTTAAACAATGAATAGGTTCTTCGTACTACCCGATTTTACAAATTGTTATGATCTTATATGTTTTCCGCTCACTGTGTTTGTCGCGTTCTGATCATCCATCATACAATGTTATCTCGATGTATGTTGTCAATGCTGCAGCGTTCTTCTAATTAATGTCAATTTGACATATTATGGAAGTTATCTTACAAGATAAAAGAAGAGTATTATTATTTAACTATTTGTTGACCCTATTTTAGAATACAAAAGTCACTCATACTTTTAGATATCATCAGAAAACAGGGATACCGTAATCCTAGGGGATAATGATAAATAAGTCAAATAAAAACAAACAGTTCCATAGGCATAATAAAATGGCTTCGTACGAACTTATTAAAAGCATTACAATAGTGCGATATTAACCTTTGATGTTCGATGGAAAAAAAGAATGCCATCATATATTTGTTCTGTTCTGTCTGGTAAGGAAAATTGAAATTAGATTTATGCACATCTTTCATATTTTTTTTTTACATAGTCGTTTATACGACGGACGCCAACAGCTTGAAGACGTTTGTAGGGCATAGAGGGTAAGCCAAAACAGATCACAGAAATGCAAACCTCATTAAGGTTAGTAGGCTAAAGGCGATGAGACGAACAACAGTCTGCAAAACATTAGATAGATGTGACAGAAAAGGGAAATAGAATTAGATTTATGCACATATCTTCATAATTTGTGTTTGACATAGTCGTTTATATTATAGGATGTTATGAAAAAGCTTTAAAATGTAAGACTGACAAAGAAAGGTAAACAAAACAACAAAATAAAAGAAAAGAAATGCAAACAATACAATGCAAACAATTTTTTTTTTTTTTTTTTCTTTGGTTACATCTTCTGACATCAGACTCGGACTTCTCTTGAACTGAATTTTAATGTGGGTATTGTTATGCGTTTACTTTTCTACATTGGCTAGAGGTATAGGGGGAGGGTTGAGATCTCATAAACATGTTTAACCCCGCCGCATTTTTGCGCCTGTCCCAAGTCAGGAGCCTCTAGCCTTTGTTAGTCTTGTATTATTTTTAATTTTAGTTTCTTGTGTACAATTTGGAGTTTAGTATGGCGTTCATTATCACTGAACTAGTATATATATTTGTTTAGGGGCCAGCTGAAGGACGCCTCCGGGTGCGGGAATTTCTCGCTGCATTGAAGACCTGTTGGTGACCTTCTGCTGTTGTCTGTTCTATGGTCGGGTTGTTGTCTCTTTGACACATTCCCCATTTCCATTCTCAATTTTAAACAATATAATGGTTAGAAGACAAAAGTTAAATTTATAACGGGTGCTAACAGATATAAAACACTGCCACCTCATGATTGACTTCAAACAATTCAAAAGACGGAGTCGATACCAGAAGAAAGAATCAATTAAAAGCAGACCACGACATTTCGAAAAAAAAGTACAGCGCCGAAAGTACAAACAGTACCTTATAAAATACTAAATAATAGTAAAGATTGAGCAGCACGAACATGAACCTCATCACAACCGGGTATGATATCAAGTGATCCGTAGGAGTAAGCAGATCCTATGCCATTATTTACTTCAGTCGTGTTGCTTATCGTGCAAAATGTCTTAAACAGTGTCGAATGATTTTAGAGAAGATATCTGAATATTGACCGACAATACCATACGTGATTTAAGTAATGATTGGTCAATACATTTGAATCAGATTACCAAACATAACATTAAATGTATGCAGTACTCATATAGCATGTAAAGAACTAGTTCATAACGTAGACTGACCTTCTATTTGGTTGACGTCACCGTACACATCATTAACAAAAGTGGCCTGTACGTCATTATGTCTTTGTGGAGTACTTGCATCATAATCATTTTCTGTCATACTACCTAAAACAACAACAATAGCAGCAAAGTATGCAATATGTTGTATGAAAATCTTACGATCATCAACAATAGGCAAGTGTGTATGCAATATACGCTTCTATATCTCAATCACCTGGGTTCTTCGAAAATAGCAGATATATTTAAAGTAAACATTTTGGGCCAAACGGTCCATAAAAAACTGATTCCTGGTTTCGCGTATTTCAAACTGCTTCGATTTTGCATAACGAAATCCTATTATTATATTTTTGATAAAGGAGTGATTTAGGGATTACAATTTACCCTTTAGATACTGTTATTTGGTGTAAAAGCGTTGACCGAATCACATTTAGTATGAAACGCGGAACGCATATTGAAATCCAAAACGTCAGTACAGACAGCACAGTGAACGAGTTTGGAAATATAAACACACTAAGACGATGCAAAAGGAACATCACCGTCCAAAAAAAGAAATTTAACAATAGAGAAAGAAAAATCGTACCTTTTGTCGTACATTTTTGTGTAGGGTTTCGCGTGTAAAACTGCAATATCTAGATCTAGGAAAGGACAGTTATTGCTGTTAATATTTGAATGATTTAATGTAAGTTTATTTGGGTCAATTTCGGCAGTATATTAAGAGAATTTTTTTATTATTTCACGAAAAAATATCATACCTTTTATTTTCTGCTTGGGTTATTTTACACTTAGTTATTTCGGGATCTTTTTACTATACGGTAAGGATTTTGCTTACTGTTTAAGGCTTTACGGTGACTTATAGTTGCTCACATTTGCGTTATTTGGTCTTTGGAGGATTAATATCTCATTGGCATATATACCACATGTTCTTATTTTATACTTAACCTTTTTACATAATAATATCAAAGAACATTTATTTGGTATTATCATATATGTAGTAGTCAATTCAAGTTTATTATTTGATGGCAATTGTTCTGTATCAAACATCCATGATGGTATCGATATGAGTCACGTTGGCAAAACCTTTATCAAACCCCTAACTGCATGTCATAATGACACATACAAAACATTTATCTTATGTAGGTCACAACTTGTTTATAATTTGGTGTATTTCAATATCACAGAAGGTAATATTCCTCAACCATTCCAATATAATCGAGCTATTGAAATTATGTTGCTGTCTCGGGTTGATGCTGGTATGAAATTGATTAAAGCCATAACATACAATCTATTTATTCATATTTACCATCCGATTGTACAGTACTGTTGTCTTTACAACTGCATTGAATAAGAAATAAACGATCAGGATTAGCGCGAAAATAAAATAAAACAACTTGAATAAAAAAAAACCTACTACGGTTGTCAAGCTAAAACTAAACAGCACATGTGAAGAACACTTTAAAAAAAACACAAAATAAATGCAAAATGTTAAATATATTTTTTAAATGAACATTTCTCGCTCAGAAGCATGTAAACTTCCAATTCAATCAAATTATGGATCAAAGTGTACACAGTAATGAACAATATTTCTTTTCCTAGCAGACGACAACAGTGCCAATATGACAAACTATTCTTTTAGCAAATATTTCTCAATTTCAGGAATATCATATTGTTAAAAAACAGTGTTATCTTCAACAAATATTTCATGTGCATATATGCAGACACTCATGGATTGGATCCAAGCTTCGTATATACATGAACCATCATGTCCTATTTTTATTGTGACCTTTCAGAATGTAATAGATTGCTAACATTGTTACTTGGAATGAGTTACACGTCGGGTGAAGCTGGATCAACCTACTTTCTCTAAGCATCTGAGATCCATGCAAATTTTGTTGGGCTCGTGTTGCTCAGTTTTAAGCTTTATGCGCTTTATAGTCGATGTGTAGACTGATGATTGTCTTTTCGTAGTTTTTGTTTTGGTCACGATTTTGTCTGTTATTGTCATCTTATGATTTCGGATTTTCCCGTTGGTATATTCTCTTTTTTACTAATTGTTACGGTATCTGTAGACGTATGCAACCGATTTGTATGCAAACGACTAAAATGTGATTGTCATCTTTTAAAGGTTTCTTTAAGTACGATTATATTGTAAAATATGACAAAGTTATTTACACGAGTACAGGTGACATACTAATCCCAACTGAGAAAAAAGAGCCCCGAAAATTGAAACAGTTCTGACAGCAGAATATTAATTTTTGTTTTAAAAAGACTGTAATCTCATTCGAATAATGACATGCTGTCTCATATATGCACAAAAAGAAAAGTCACGATTACCTTGTTAAGATAAAGTGGACGAAAAATATGAGTATAAAGTCATAATTAACAAAATTAATATATCTTTAATTGGTTCTCTTATACATAAAGTGAAGTGTGTTATTTTTATGGACACTTTTCTATTTGGTAAAAATGTATTTTTTACATATAGTTTTGTTTTACTTGTTATAATCATGATAATGTGTTGTTGGTTGTGGAAAAAATGAGATGTAGAGTAACCAATAACAAAAAAGCAACAATATACAACTGTGGTATCGTATGGATTAACGTTTCAAGTTGTAGTTTATCCTGAGTCAAACATTGCTGTAAATGCATTTTTACGAATGATTGTCAACTAAACAAGTAATGGTGGCGCCAGAATTTCGTAGAACAGATACTTATATCGAATAGATAGTTAGTACTAAAGTTAATATGTATTAATATGTTATAAGTACATTATAATGTTATCTCCATTAACTTGCAGAACGCAAACCTTGAGTACTGTTAATAAATAATTGTATAAATGTACCTTTGAGTCATATATTTACCTGGAATTAACATTTAATTTTTCAGGTAATGGATGTTATTTTTCAGTTTATATATTCGTGAATTCGACCGACTAACTGACTGTTTCGCTCTTGTAGGAATTTTCGTGACCTCATTTGATATGGTTTTTATATCAACATTGATTGGTTGCAATGGCACTCAGCAATGATAGAAGTTTTAACGTATAACATTAAAACTTTATTTGAAATTTAATGGTTTTACTTAATGATTAAAAGTACGCATTTATATTCATAATGAAGAAAAAACAGTTTAAAACATGACAAAAGTACTGATGCAGGCATATTCCAAATGTATTTGATGTTTGCTTTTTAAAAATATGTCTTCATGATTATTGCAATGACACTATTTCGTAATATCAATACTTTTATTGCAATTAACATTATAGTTATCACACATTGCGTTATTTTTTTGTCAATTCACTGTGAATTCACACTCATCAAAGATACTAGGATGAAAAATGTGTACACAACACGCACATTTCGTCTGCAAAAGACTCGTCAAAGACGCTCGAGTCAAAAAAGTTAAAACGGCATAGTAACGTAGAAGTTAAAAACAAAGAGGACCCAAAATTCCGAAAAGTTTTGTCAAATACAGCTAAGGCAATCTATTCCTGTGGTAGAAAAGCCTTAGTTTTTCGAACAATTCACAGTTTTGTTAACATATGAAAAAGAAGATGTGGTATGATTGCCAATGAGACAACTCTTCACAAGATACCAAATGACACAGAAATTAACAAGTATAGGTCACCGTACGGCCTTCAACAATGAGCAAAGCCCATACCGCATAGTCAGCTATAAAAGGCCCCGAAATGACAAATGTAAAACAATTCAAACGAGAAAACTAACGACCTAATTAATGTACAAAAAATGAACGAAAATCAAATATGTAACACAGCAACAAACGACAGCCACTAAATTACAGGCTCCTGATTTGGGACAGGCACATACATACAGAATGTTGCGGGGTTAAACATGTTAGAGGGGACAGTGGTGTAACAGTACAGCATAAGAACGAACTATGAAAATCAGTTGAAAAAGGCTTAACTCAACTCATCAGATGGATACAAATAGAAATACATCTAACAAAAACACAGACTGGACGTGGCCGGGTACTTGTACATTCCAGCAACAAAAAGACACTAAGTACAGATCTGAGAGTACTCGCAGTTACTGACAGCTAGTTAAAAGCCAATAACAACTAATAAAATAAATCATGCATCTAAGACTAAATGCTTAACAGTTCATTTATAATTATGATAATGATAATTCATTTCAACACAGAAGTGCATAAAAACTTACCAATTTTAATTGTTCAAATTCATCGTAACAGACGGATTTCCATCCGAAGGTCAATGTTCGCATATATGTTGTTTTCATTTAAAAAAAATCAATCAACATTTATACTTTGGATCAAACTTAATGACAACAAATCTGATTCCTTTTTTTTTAATTAATGAAAATTACATAATATGCATATACGTACCACAAGCAAATTTCAGACCTAATGCTGCAGCAAAAACACCAAATATAGATAGCGTTAGCAGTGAAGCCAGCAGTGGCTTACTTCCGACATTTTGTTTATACTGTACTGTGTGCTCTGAAACAATTAAATGGACTATTAAAAAAAAAAACAATCAATATTTTTAATAATTGGACGCGATGAATTTTCCTGGCGGAATTACTTTTTGGCGAAATATGTCTATGCTATGTTGATATTTGCTGATGGGTTATGTGGAAACATTAATCGTTTGTAATTATCTCCAATAACGTTATCGGCAAATCAGTTTGCAATCAGATACAATCATTTGAAATTCTCTTGATGAAATACTTCGCAAATGTTAATTTCATTACTCATTTAACACACCACGGGGACATATAAAGCAAAGATATTTTAAATAAACGAAAAACAATCAATTAATTTAGAGTTTAGTATGTCGTCCATTATCACTGAACTAGTATACATATTTGTTTAGGGGCCAGCTGAAGGACGCCTCCGGGTGCGGCAGTTTCTCGCTGCATTGCAGACCTATTGGTGGCCTTCGGCTGTTGTCTGCTCTATGGTCGGGTTGTTGTCTCTTTGACACATTCCCCATTTCCATTCTCAATTTTAAATATATCATATAGATACCGACAAAAAGAAATGGCACGATTACAAGACAAAAACAAAATTGTAAGTTTGTAATGTATATTATGTAATAACTCCATATGAAGATCCTAATTTAGACAGTTTAAGCTGTTCTGTGTAAAATATTTAAATATGTATGGTCGTAAAAGTAAGATTTTTTATAGATTCCAGACTTTTGGTCTCGACCATAATTGATAAGAGTATTCCATATGGCAAGCGCAGTTAAAAGATAGAAAAAAAAGGCGAAAGAAATCAAAGGGACATTCAAAAAGGTGGTTTCAATTATAAATGGTACATGTATCAGGGTCCAATCACTAGTACATAAACTTACTTTCCATCTTTAGTTGTATTGTATAATTGTTCGATCCTCTGTCATTTTGCAACACAACTGTTATGTTGCTAAAATCTAATGTATCTCGTACACAAATCCGAAGTTTTATTTCATACCCATTCACAATAACAGCCTTGTCATGATAATAGTCCACAACCGTTGTTTTATGGACTGATATAATTATATCACTACTGTTAAATTCAAGAGCTGGTTTGTTGCCCATTAGTAAGATGATATTGGCGGCGGGGTGTGCTATAAAATACACCCTTATTTCAGTCGTTCGGTTTTGGTAGATGTAGAGTTCTTGAGTGTTGTTGAATACAAAATGTGGAACAGCTGTGATATGTGAAAGAAAAGTACTATACATTTATTATGTTTATGTTAACGAGCAATATATATGTGTTTAAATAAATCAATATGAGAAAATGCATTTCTGAGATTGAAACTAAGAATAGGTATCGAATAATAACAATATTATTAATGTTAAAATTCATGAAAACTACATTAAGTCCATACTTCTATTGAAATTTAACTCTATAGGGTAATTTTATATTTTTTTAAAACAAAAATTACCTATATAAGTATCTAAAAAAAGTAACTTGTTTAAGTAACGCCCCTGACTGATAATGGGAACAAATTACGATGGCTATGATATATGTTTGTACGTGTTATTTATTTATTGTAATCATTATTTTCATTTCAAGAATTTTGATAAATCTCTTTGTTCAAGTTTCGTATCAATTAGTATTATAGCAATATTGTTTAACAGTATGATCTTATATAATTATGTTATTTGTCATCATCTTTGGACGATCATTAAAGATTTCTATCATTATTTTCGAATGAAATGAACACAAATTGACATGAAATACGATATATTAGGAAGTATTTATGTTATATAAATTCAGTAGGTTTCTTTTTCGCGAAGATTAACATCAATGCAATGACAATCAACTTGGAAAGTTTATATTAAAATGTCTTATGAAAACCATGTGTAAGTATTTGAGCAAATTCTGAAATTTGTGTCAAACACATTTTTTTGTTATCGTAGAACCATTATAATTCACGTGTATTTTTCACATTGTAGTATCTGCCAATAAGCGTATGAAATACAAGTGTACTGAGATAAGCTCGTCAAATGCAGGTAAAAAATAAAAAATTAGCTTCTGTCACCTGATATAGTTAAATTATATACAGCACATTGCGAGTCAGGCTTGTGTCTTGTTCTTAAACCATATGCATTGAACACTCTGCAAACATATACACCATTACTTTGAATTGAATTATTTCTAATTGTTAGTAAAGGTTTCGACGAAAGGTAACGTATGTGTTCATATGCATCTGTTCTTTGTTCCCATTCGTAAGTATAGTTGTCTGGGACACCACCTGATGCAATGCAAGAGAGGCTAAGAGTTTCATCTCTTGGGTTGAACTCATCTACTATTGACACATTTGGTATTCCTATAAATAGTAACAGTTATCAACTTCTATGAATACACACCTCATAATGATCCTTATTGGTTAACTGCCTTTGTCAACTCGAGTTTGTTATTTTTTATGAAAAAAACTAAGTGTTGTTTTATAAAACATAAGATGTTGACTTCTTTGTCATTCGACGATAAATATACCATTATATGTTCCTATATAAGGCGAAAAACATGCTGATGCTATGATATTTGTGTATACATGACCGCACAATATCCTTCAAATCGTCCAAAAAATTATAGGCAAATTGACATTGGCATCTTGTTTGTGATTGTACGTATCTAATGAATAAATCTCTTTTTATCCTGCAATCAACCTTTTTACTATACCAATACAGGTGTACAGATAACACGAAGCGATATACGTATACTAGACGTATATAGTCTCCTAGTATCCTGCTTCTGTTGCGAGCGAACGGTTATGTCAAATTACTGTTTACGTCACAGTTCAATTTGGGGTCCTCATTGTGGTCCGCGTTTAAGTCATGTCGATTTCTTTCAAAAACAAATTCAACAATTGGGATGGAAAAAAATGTACAAATTTAATTGCCGGATAAAGACAATAACTGTTTAGTGTCTTTTAATATCAGCTGTATTTGTGCTCGACTCGAAACAGGAGTAATAGCTCGCTAAAGCTCGCATTACACCTGTTTCTTAGCCTCGTACAAATAGAGCTGATATTTAAAGACACTATACAGTTATTGTCTATATAAATTTTTACCCTTCGTAGCACTTCTTTGGATTTAACTTCTTCAGGAACGCCCGAACACAAAAGGTATGCTAAGGGGCGTATTTGGCCCCCTCTCCAAATAAGTTAATATTTATATAGTTGATTGTCTTAGTATTGTGAATTGAAGACAAAAAATAGTTATTCTAAAGTGCTCCATTGAAAGGAAGGTTGCCTAGCAACGGTTTCTATTAAATATCAAAATTATCACAGATTAATTGCTGTATCACTAAAAATTAGAACAATTCCAAATAATATTGTGTGTATAAGAAAAACTTGAAGTTGCAAAAGAAAATTCTCTTTGATGTAGCCTACTACATGCTTTTAAACAACCTAGCATCAGATATTGTGCCTAGCAACGGTTCAAAAATGTGTTATTTTTTACCTAATAAGTAATTGATGCATTTTTTTGCAGATTTTGTTTTTATAAATGGTGTTGCATTCTAATATTTTATCTTAGTCATCATTATTCTGTTTACAAATTCCGTATTTGGCATAGCAACACAAATGTTGGTAACTACAAATCAATTAGTTATATAATTCTTCAAATTAAATCAAATGCAATGCAGATGGTCTGTTTAAGAACAACTAGAATTTAGAAATGAAAAGTTAGTTCTATTCACAAAATGCTCATCAACAACTTCAGGATTTTTTTTTAAGAATCTACTTTCATATATGGTGTCGCACTATAAAAATATAAACATCATATTTGAATCCATTTGATGAGTTAAGCCTTTTTCAACAGATTATTTTAGTTTGTTCTTATGTTGTACTGTTACACCACTGTCACAGGGTGGGGAAGGGTTTGTGCCTTCAAACGAGTTTGACCCCGCCACATTCTGTATGTGACTGTCCCAAGTCAGGAGCATGTAATTCAGTGGTTGTCGTTTGTTGCTGTGTAATGTATTTGTTGTTCGTTCATTATTTTGTACGTAAATTAGGCCGTTAGTTTTCATGTTTTAATTGTTTGACATTTGTCAGGATAGGGCCTTCCATAGCTGACTATTGGGCATGGGCTTTGCTCATTGTTCATGGCCGTACGGTGACCTATTGTTGTTAATTTCTGTGTCATTTTGTCTCTTGTGGAGAGTTGTCTCATTGGCAATCATACCACACCTTCTAAATTTTATGTATCTAGAGTGTTATTACTCTTTTTTGACACAGTCAATATCGAGCATAGCAACACTCATGCATGTTTCTAGGCAACGACAATCATTTTTAAGATTAAAATAACAACAAAATGTGTGGTTAAATGTGAAGGTCTTGTCACGATCACAAGAATATAAAGGATTTATTAATTGGGGGTACCGTCTTTACAGTGTTTAAGATAGTTAATGTAAATGAAATGCAGGAGACGTGGTTTGTACCACAAAAAGATCTCTTCTGGAATAGATTTGATTTGAATTGATTTTTGGTGTTTTAATGCCACTTTTAAGCACCGCCTTTGGGCTATTTCGTGGCGGCCAGTTTTTATTGGTGGAGGAAGCTGGAGTGCCCGGAGAAAACCACCGACCTTCGATAGGAAAACTGACAATCCTAGTCAATTAAGATCAGAGTCGAGTGCACCTGCACGAGCCGCGTTCGAACTCACAACCTCGGTGTTAAATGGCTAGTGATTACAGTAGTAATTACTTAAACCACTTGGTCACCGGGTGACCCTAAGGGACAAATAATTTGCATAATTAAAACGGAATTGACATAGCATGCAAAAATATTTATTGATTTTGGGTTGGTCATGTGAAATTGAATTATTTGACCTTGAAAATCAAAAAATACGAACAAAACATCAATTATTTTGTCCAGCATCCTTTGATCTAAAATAAATGATTTGACAGTTTAAATTCTACCCAACGTGTACAAAAATACATGGATATATCTAAAATAAGTGTAGATGTTCTACAACATATTGAAGAATTATCACCATCCCCATAATATTTTAAAAATAACGTATGAAGGAAATTAACAGTGCAAAAATGTGTTATAGTGGTGGAATTTCCACTTGAAAAATTGAAACAAAAAAAAACTAATAAAAAAAAGAGAACTGTTGACACAGAGATATGTTTCGTCTGTATGTATTTTTAGATGTTCTACTTCTTATACTACTGCATAATAAATATCAGTAACTGGTCATTTTTGGTTTTTCTTAAAGAGAGGCGAAAGATACCAGAGGGACATTCAAACTCATAAGTCGCAAATAAACTACCAACACCATGGCTAAAAAAAAAAAGACAAACAAACAAAAGTACACAAAACACAAAATAGAAAACTAAAGACTGAGCAAACTGACATAACTACAGACTATAACATATTAACTTAGCAAAAGTTTAAATTTCAATCAAACATGACAGAAGGAGCGGGTCCAAAATTTTAAATGGAAATTAGACGTACCGATGCATTCCAAATAACATTCACTTTTTGTAAGTGGTCACCCTTCAACTGACCTAATAACAACTTTTATCATGTAAATTATGCAAGCATCTAAAAGTCAATGGACCATGACTGAGAGGGAGGGGTCAAACAAATTGAATAACTGCGTATCAAATTCCATTCACTTATAGTAACTGGTTCCCCTTTATCTGACTTTAACACAATCTTTAACATGTAAAATATGCAAATATTTCAAAGTCTATAGACCATGACTGAGGGAGCTGACCAAATAATGTCAATTGAAATCAGATGATGAAGCAAAGGAAGAAGGATAAGTAAAACATTAATCTTGCCTTACAAGAATTTAATTTTAAACGATTACGGAATTATTGATATGCATTCCCTTCACTTACCTGTCTAACCCTAAATATAAATGTATAAGCAGACACATTAGAAATTAAATTTACTAAAATGTATGTTAATAAATGTCAAATTTATAATCCAAGGTCTTTTGAATTTTCGCCATATCAGTTCGAAATATCAAATTGTTAAACATGTTAAATTGTGCTGGTTTGCAGAAATTGTTAAGGAAGATGAAAAAAAGAAAGAAAAATTCATAAAATAATAAGCAAGAAAAGAAAAAATGAATAGAAAAAAATCATTAGAATTTTTTTAAATATTATGTAATGTGAGATTTGAACTGAAGATCTTCTCAACTTAACTCGGTGTGTATTTCAATTAACGTTACAGCAGTTGCATAACAAAAGACGTTAACAAAGACGTATTTATTCTCGAAACGTTCCCACAATTATTGTGTGTTATAGTTCTCTAAATATTGAAATTCAATCAAATAAGAACTGTTCCAATATGAAACAATTATAAGGTAAATTTGGCTTCATTATTCCCCAAATTTCCGTAAATTTTGTCACAGTTCCCTTTTGATTTTGTGTCAAAACTCGACACTGTCTGTTGAAATCTCACTTTGAACTCGTGCAATTATAAATACGGGAGTACTGTGTTCCTTTTTTCGTAAATGTAAAGTTTATAAGTAATAATCATTGAAGTATACAAATTATTTATTTAAATTTTAAAAAAAACGTTGATGTAAAATGTTTGCAGAGACACACAGACGTTCACATGTGTACGGTACTTACGTAACATAGTAACGTTGAACAAATCGTCTCCTCCATTCAATGATATACATTGATATAAGCCTACATTGTCTGCTTCAAACTTTAATATCTTCAAAATGTTTTCATTTGTGCTCTTTACGTGAATTACTTGAACGTTCTTTATATCACTTTCAGTAGTTCCAGATGCATATATGTTATATTCTGGTGGTCCACGCCAAGTGAGATTAGCTATAGGAATTTTCATCGGACAAGTAAGCTTAACTGAATCTCCCTCTTGGACATAGATATCAACCATAAAGGTACCTAGAGTTACCATAAATACACACCAAAGGGTAAGCGAAAAACAATAATGAATTAAAAACAGATAATAAATTGAATAAACAAATAAAGAAAAAAATCAACCAACAGTAATATTTGTAAAAGATACATTTGAGCTAGATACGTTTTTGAACTATATTTCTGATCACAATGCTAAAGTTGGTTTACTATATTTTCATTTAATTTCTGAGATAACATGTAAACTTTCTTACCTTGTGAAAAGATCATAACAACAATACAAATTTTCAATTCAATCATGTTCATGCTGACAAAAAAGCAATTGTACGATATCTTAATAAGGAAACAAATGTCCTCATACTGAAACATATTATGGTCATATGACTTGGATAAACCTTATTTTGTTCTGACATCATCAATGATTCATCACATAGATCATTTTTAAAGAGCTAAACTATTATATTACACAAATATACAATATACGTTGGATAGATGTTACGAGTGGGGAAATCAAATTCTTTATCTCACATTTTTAAGACGTATAAGGATTAAACGCTTTTTAAAGGAATCTATTGGTGTATAAACTGGACCAAATCACTCAAAAACAAATAAAAGTCAGAAGGACATTTATGATAGGACTGTGAGGTTCTTGGTCCAGTTTGTACACCAATAAATTCCTTTAAAAAGGCGTTTAATCCTTAAACTTCTTTAAAATGTGAGATAAAGAATTTGATTTCCCCACTCGTAACATCTATCTAACGTATATTGTATATTTGTGTCATTAAATTGGCCTAGCACATGAATATATTATTTGGTTAACGCAAAAAAATGTACTACATGAAATTTGCGAAGTGAAAATGAAAAGTTTTAACGTCGAGCCGGTTTTTGCTTTTTATCGCCGCCATCTTGTTAACATTGTTTACGAAAAGTAGTTCCGTCTATGTCGTCTATCGAAAAATAGACATCTTCAAAGGCCACTACGAGAAGCCCTCTCGATCAATCATATAAACGTATTCCCTAATATGCAATCCAAAATATAATTATTTCAAATTAACTAAGGTCGAGTGCAATGACATACCAACCTAAAGGCCTTGACCCAATGCATCTAAATCCGAACAAATTAGGTTATCGATGCCTACGCCTTCATGAATAGCTCTTTGTGAAATCCATTTTATTATCAACTTTATAACATAGTTCAGTACGAAGTGTCGATAATTAATTTATTATCTTCTATACATTCTGCAAAAATGGATCAATGCTATGTAATAAAGATAGAACTTTACATTGCATCTACAAATACTTCAACCAGTATCAGTATTAACACGTCTCCAATAAATCTTGAAAGAATTTAGCATGTAGCTCCATGATTCTTATCGAGAAAATTTATGGACTTCAAGTAAAAAGTAAAATAACAAAAATACCGAACTCCGAGGAAGTCCGTAATCAAATGGCAAAATCAAAAGCTCAAACACATCAAACGAATGGATAACAACTGTCATATTCCTGACTTGGAACAGGCGTTTTCTTATGTAGAAAATAGTAGATTAAACCTGGTTCTCATAGCTAGCTAAACCTCTCTCTTGTAAGACAGTCGCATAAAATATCATTATATTGACAACGATAAGACAAAACAAACAGACATAATAGGTAAACATGTCAAAAATAGGAGTACAGCAGTCAACATTGTGTTATAATCTTAATCACTATAAAAATAAATAAATATGTAACAAAGAAACACAAAAAGGCATATAGACAAAGCACATTAGCAAAAATGAAAGACAAGAATACAAAAATTTACAATAGCACAATAACACAATGACGGGATGTATAAGTACAGAGCCACGTCAAATGGATATCACAAAAATAAACTAAACAGTAAATTTAAAGTAATATTCATAAAGACAAATAAAAGAATATTATAACACGTTATTAAGATGATAAATAACGTCAATACCTAGAATCTATACTTCAAGACCATCATGTATTATTTGTGAAGTTGACAAGGAATATTTATCAACAAGGTCTTGGTATTTTCCGATGAACTTTTTTAGAAAAAGGATGACACGTTCTTTGACATAACCCTGGTTCATCAACTTTCTACTCAGACACTGATGAAGTTTTACAAAGTCTGAGGAAGTTGGTATATTGCTACTAAGGTGGGGGAAATTGATAATTTCAAAATTACAATCGTCTCGTTGGTCATAGATTCTGGTACTAAGATGACCGCGTATGTCAAATTTGAGGTATAAGTCTAAAAATGTCTCTTGTTTCATCAATTTCTAGTTCTGGGGGATATATTAACGGAACCCAATCAGAAAAGTTTGGATTGTTAATGGAAAGAAAATCATCAATATATCTGAATGTGAAATTAAATGATCTGGCTTCATTGATCTTCTTGTTTTTGATAAGTGTCTGAAGGAACTACGACTCATATGAAAATAAGAAGAGGTCGGCTAGGAGAGGCGCACAGTTCATTCCCATAGGAATGCCGACAATTTGTTGAAAAAGTCTACCTCCAAATTCAACAAATATGTTGTCAATAAGAAACTGAAGCATACTGATCACTTGTTTCTCTGTGTAGCATGTTTTATTGTTCACTATTAACAAAATATGCCGTATGGTATCCCAAAGTAATAAATTTATAGCGTATGCTACCATTTTGTTGAAAAGCATTGTGGATTATTTCTTTTAGACGATTTTTCAATTTCACATGGGGAATGGCGGTATACAGTGTTGAAAAATCAAAGTTTTGATAGAGCTAATTTCAGAAAAATTACACTATCGTTTATCCTCCTTATATTATAGTATGGTATAAATATTGATGTCTGCAATTACAAACAGGCCCAGAAGATAATTGTGCATACCATTTTCGTTATAGAGAAAGTCCAAATAACTGTCCATTCCTGGGAAATAATGGAGCGGAGGTCCGTAGTGCCGACGCCTATTATTTCCCAGGAATGGACAGTTATTTAGGGCCGACGAGGGCCTCCGCTCCATTATTTCCTAGGAATGGACAGTTACTTGGACTTTCGCTAACTTCAAATATACCTTAAATATTAAGAATGAGTCTTTATATTATAACATTTTAAAGAATTTTATTTCATTTGGTAATGGTTTTCTTTTCATTTTCCTTATGGTGTACCCAATAATCCACAGGCAAAATTTAAGATCAAGCTGACCATCTACTCACTTAACGAAGTATTTATGAACAGTAGAATGATTACTATAAAAAGATCTTGAATAACGTTCATCCAGATTTATGTTTTAAGTCATTGGATACGCACGTCTCTCTTGTGGTGGGATTAAAAGGATATTTTTTTTGTGTCTTTAAGTTGTATTTCGGGAGAGAGAAAAAATTAAAAGTTATCCATATATGTTAATGGATTATGTGTGTTTTTCGTTTGATAAATCTTGGATGTAGAATCGTCTGAGAAAAATGACATTGTACAACATGAATTAATTTCCAGGTATGTAACACTCTAGTATAGGCTATTTAACTAATGAGGGTGTGCTCGATTTGAAGTCATATCTGAAACAAAATATGATTTTATATTTCAAACCATTCTATTAGATCAAATAAAATCAAACAAGATACTAGTGTTTCATGTTTCATTCAACAATTTTTTTTCCGCTCCCTTTGCTGATAACAACGGAAAAAAAAAAATTATGCATGGTTTAAATAAAGAAAAGCAACAGTAGTATACCGCTGTTCGAAATTCATAAATCGATTGAGAAAAAACAAATCCGGGTTACAAAGTAAAACTGAGGGAAACACATCAAATATAAGAGGAGAACAAAGACACAACAGAAACACTAAAATGCAACACACACAGAAACGAACTATATGATAACAATAGCCATTTTTCTGACTTGGTACAGGACATTTTAAGAAAAAATAGTGGGTTGAACCTGGTTTTGTGGCTAGCCAAACCTCCCGCTTTAATGGCAATGTTAAATATAACACTAAAATGACAACATTACATGACAGGACTACAATACAAAAAAATTGAAGAACATACAGGACAGAGAAACACACAAATAAACAATAGAACATTACGACAAGCTAATAGTTATGAAAGGTGCCAGGCTTAAAGATGAAGAGCATTAATGACCCAAAATTCCAAAAAGTTGTGCCAAATACGGCTAGGTTATCTGCCTGGGATAAGAAAATATTTAGTATTTCGAATAATTCATATTTTTGCAAACAGTAAATTTATAAAATATAAAAATGACCATATAATTGATATACATGTTAACACCGAAGTGGTGACTAACTACAGAATAAAAACGAATACGTAAAACAACCTAGATCAGCACATAAAAACAGCACAGCCGAACAACGCATTGTATGTCAGCCGAATAGATCGACGCACAAAAGTGACGTCACAGGTAAATTTCTAAAAATGTCCAAAAAATAGGATAGAGTTTTAAATAGCAATACAAACAAATTGTAAATATTTATTCATTCTTCCCTATTATCAGAAAGTAGGCAAACAATTTTAGAAAGAAAAACCGCGTGATTAAAAACATTTTTAGATTGCGTTTTGTATGTCTTTAACTTAAGTGGAAAACTACTTTTGATTTTTTTTAAACATTTCAAGATTAACGCCGTCATTTGCACTGCCGATATAACTGTTATATTTGCTACTGGACATATAACAAAAGTGAAGGAATTCGATTGTGTTACGCGTTTCTGTTGAAAATTGAATAAAAATACCGCCCAATATTTAACCCAAGCCTTATACAAATGTTATCCATACCCCTCACATTCTATTCATTAGTACCATATTCAAATTATGACAACGATAAATCAAATAATATATCGAATACGTCATTTTGACCATTTCAGTTTCTTGAACTATTATTGTGGAAACTTTCTGAGTAATATTTCTTTTTTGAATGTACATTTTAAAATGGAACAAACGGTTTTTGCTGTACAAAATCAAAATACGACACTAAATTTCAAGCAAATGATATCTTAAACGGTAAAATTAAAAGCAAATCTGTAATTAAATATTTTTCTCTCT